TAGGGCTTTCAGCCCTCTCTAAGCGGTTTACAGAGTCAGCATATCTCCCCCCACAGTCTGGGTCCTCATTTCACCCACCTCAGGAGGATGGAAGGCTGAGTCAACCTTGAGCCGGTGAGATTAGAACCCCTGAACTGCAGATAGCAGTCAGCTGAAGTGGCCTGCAGTACTGCACCCTAACCACTGCGCCACCTCGGCTACCCTCCTCTATTCATTCCTTCATATCTTTCACAGTTTTGTGCATGTTTTTTTTTTTAATTTTACACTGGGATTCTTGCCGTTTTGAACTATTAAGCGCCCCCCCCCCTCCTTTGCTTATTTTTTCAGTATTTGCTTTCGTGGTGAAAGAAATATTTTCCTATATTTGTATGAAGGAATGCAGATTAGCATTCTTTATAGGGGAAAAAAAATTTCTATGTACATTTAACCAAATTGAATCTCAGGAAGGAAAACAGATGCCGAAGCAATCATCAATCTTCTAGAAAGCACTGTTCCCTTCCATTCCTTAAGATGACTTCACGGAACACATTATTAAATATTTAATTGCAAATAGTTACGTCTCACATTGGTAGAAAACAGACGAAGGCTACTAATAGGGTTTTTATTTTTTTAAAAAGCAAAGGAACATTGGTAATAACGTACTCAACAGGATAAGGATTGTTAATTTGTTTTGCCCACGTTAACTATGAATGTTGTTGAATCTTAAATTGTTGTATATTGTCTTATTTATCCCCCTTCCCTCTTTTATTGTAAGCCGCCCGGAGTCCTTCGGGAGTGGGCGGCATACAAAATTAATAAACTAAACTAATAAATTAAACTAAACTTTTATTACTTTGTGCCGCTCCTTGCCATTTTATTACCACATGTGGCCATGATAAGATAGGTCTCTGAGGACTTATGAAATGGGTCAGAGGATGTTCATTTTATCTTGCTCGGCTCATTTTAAGAGCTGAGGTGGCGCAGTGGGTAGGGTGCAGTACTGCAGGCCACTTCAGCTGACTGCTATCTGCAGTTCGGCGGTTCAAATCNATAGGTGGTACCTTGCTCAATAGTAGTAACTGTGAGAGGGATCTTGGACAACCATTTAAATAGGAGCCAGCCGTGGGCAGCAGCTGCCAAAAAAGCCAACACAGTTCTAGGCTGCAGAAACAGAGGGATAGAATCAAGATCAGATGTCTATATACTGAAGGATCTTGACAAACCTGAACATTGGGCACTATCTAATAAAATGAAATTCAATGGTGAAAAAAATAAGGTTCTGCATTTAGGCAAGAAGAACGAAATGCCCAGGCACAGTATAGGTGGTACCTTGCTCAACAGTAGTAATTTGAGAGGGATCTTGGAGTCCTAGTGGACCACCATTTAAATAGGAGCCAGCAGGCTGTAAATTGCTCAAGTCTGTTCTAAACGAACCTCCTTAGGGGACTTTTCCTATCTCCCCACTCTGGTGGATTTGGAAGTTGTGACCGGGAAAAGATGGTCTTTCAGGTAACCTGGTCCCAAGCCATATAGGCTTTGAAGGTGACAACCAGCATCTTGAACTAGATGCAGAAGCAAATTAGCAGCTAATACTACTCCCGCAGGAGGGATAACACATGAGGACATTTAGGCCTTCAGAAAGCTACGTGTGCCGCTGCATTTGATCCAACTGAAGCTCTCAGGTACTTTTAAAGGGCAGCCTCAGGTAGAGATAATTGCAATAGTCAAGAGGGGAGGTGACTAAGGCGTGGGTGGCTGTGAGCAAGAATTGTTGATTCAGGAAAGGTGGTAACTGGGGTAACAACTCACAGTTGCGCAAAGGCAAATGGTTGAAAAATTTCCTGCATGGAAAAATTACAGTGATTATTTTATTTTTATGGTGTACTTTCTAGGTGTGGCTATCAACGTAAGTTTTTGGAGTGCAAGCTGTCCAAGTCGTTAATCCAGCAGTTTACAAGAAATAGTAAGTTACTATGCTAACAGTACTTTGGAACTAATTTATACGTGTGTTTATAAGATTTTGTTCTGTTGTTTTTTTTCCCCCAGCTGAAATGCCACCATGGATTATTGCTTCAGCCCTGCCTTATGCCCTAATAAGCAGAGGCGTGGTACAATTTTCATTAAAGCAAGATTCATCAGCCCTTGAACAACATGCTGGAAATCTCTTTTGCAAAAGGAGATGGGGCCACATAGAATAATTGAACCATAGGAGGTATTTTGCTGCAACCCCCTGCCTGGTTCGGGAATATTGACATCATCTATATAATTTATGCAATTTACATAATTATAAACATACTTCAAGTGTAGGTTGGGACTTCATTGCTACAGAAACCCATTAACAGAATTTTGATATCACTTTTGTTAGATACTAGCTTCAGTTATAGTGGTTTCCACCAAGGTCCTCTGTTCCAGTGGGAACAGAGGTTTAATCTCATTGGTCGAAGGGTCTGATAGCTCCCCGTAAAAGGGCCGCCGTCAGACTGAACCTTCGCTGGATTGTACATACTTGTATGTACATAAAGTCCCAAAGGTGCTTTTTATTTCAAAAGGCAACTAGAGTTTCCTTGAAGACATTTCACTTCTCATCCAAGAAGCTTCTTCAGTTCTGACTCAAGAACTGACTGAAGTGGACTCAATGACTCTGAGAAAGGGTGCTAATGACTGCGAGGAATATAAATCCCTCCCTCCTCCATGATACAGTCAGAACTGAAGAAGCTTCTTGGATGAGAAGGAAAACATCTTCAAGAAAAAATACTAAGTCCAGACCATTATTTGGATGATTGAGAATCTCCATAGACACTCAGGACTAAAGACGTGACATTCCGAAGAATAATGCAGTGTATCTACAGATTGGCCAGAAAATGTATCTAGAGCACTTAAATCTTAAGTGACACGGTTCTTAATATTAGTAATTAGTTTATTAATTATAGCAGCCTCTCCCAATATGGGAGCTTGTATGTGGGAGAAGGTAGAAGAACAGCATTGGGAGCATAACAAAAAGAAGGACGTGTGGGTTTTGTTGATGTGCGTGAATCACATTCTTCTTAAATCATTTTCATCTGGATCGTCTTCCGTGGGGAACTGAATCATCCTTGACATCTCAAAAGGTATTGGGGGGAAAAAGGTTAGGGTTAAGGTGGGTATATTTGCTCTGTTTGTTCAAAAAGGCAGAAGACCAAAGGAACTGCTTCAGAAATAAAGCAAAATCAAATGAATAAGCTGAAGATCATTTCTCAAAGCCAATCAGGCACAGTGGAAAGACATTCGACAGAACATGGCTTGGCCGTCAACAGCCCTATTTGCTTTCTTTGGAGTCTTCAAGATCTGCTTTTATAATTAAAAGATAATTCCCAATTGTTTTCAGTGGAAGCAAAAGAATGAAGATATCCAGAGCTTCCAATAAAATTAATATATCTTACACTTCAGAAATAAGAAATGTGCGCTCCCCTCAGTTTTGGGGAATGTGATGTTGATATCACCAGTGATGGCTGTTGCATAATAGCAATAGCAATAGCAGTTAGACTTATATACCGCTTCATAGGGCTTTCAGCCCTCTCTAAGCGGTTTACAGAGTCAGCGTATTGCCCCCA